TTCCTTGCCTTAGTAGTGCTTTTCATGGCTGATTTAATTCTATCTAGATGTCAATTTACTTTTATCAGCTCCATGAAATAGCATTTAAGCACCTCACAATTGTTGAATGTGTCCCACAAATCCATGCAAGGCAGAGAACTACCATCGATTTTACAGATTGGCACCAAGAGTGAGATGACTTGTCCAAGACCACACGGGAAACATGCACTCTAGCATGCTAGTCTAGTGCCTTAACCACAGGAGTGGTTGTGGTTGATATCATAGATAATGGTTCCTGATTGAGAAAGAAGGCGGTAACTTGCATGGGGAGTTTTCTCTATTCCCTATATAGATGTCTCTGTCCTCTATTGTGCCAGAGTTCATTTCTGCCAGGCAGGTCACAACAGAAGACTTCCAACAAAAGCAAACTGGTTGGTTTGTCAGGCACTCAGATCGTACCTCCAGTTACAGACAAGAGCAGGAGTTCCACAAGAAGCTCAGAAAGTCTCTTTTTGCAAAGTTCAGCTCTGTAGGATAAATATGAAACTAAAGACTTGGGATTGGCTTCTGGAAATATGTATGTGTTGTTAAAAGACCTTGATCTACAAGTAGAAGAAGGGCCCTGAAAACAAATGACAAGTTAAGGAGTGAATGAAGGAGAATACTGGTTCAAAGAATAATTCATGAGATAAGAGGAAATTTCTAAAAAGAAGGCCTTTGACTAATAGGAGTTACTGCTGGCGGTTTTTAATAAGACAAAATAAATCTGTTTTAAAATGAGCCAATGTTCATTTCTCACAAGTGTTTCTTCAAAATCTAGGGCCCATGTGAACCCAGATGCAAAAAAGCTATGGTAACAACTGTGACCTCTCAACTACCACTGTATGTTATTGTTAGATAAACCTTGGCCTTGGAGAAGAAGTGATGTCTGTCTCTGAATTACTCTCTTAGGTCGAGCCCTAACTTTGTTTTTGTTTTTGTTTTTGTTTTTGTTTTTGTTTTTGCTCAGCTTTGTGTCAAATTAGAAATATATTATTATAATTATTGGGTTGTACTTGGAAGGTAAACTAAAGGGCCAAATCCCTTATTCATACTTATTCATACTTATTCTGAATTGTCTTCTGTCAGATTTGCCTCAACAATTTTGTCTAGCAGGAAAATTGATAAGTCCATGTTATCTAAGTGATCAATTAAGACAGCAACTAGACCCACATAGCAGGAGGGAATCATCTAACTTCTATAGCCAAGAACAATGAGCAAACAAATCAATAGTCCATCTGGTGAGGAGCAATTAGGCAGGTGGCAGAATACAAAATGGTGAAGTATTAGACATGTAGTCAGGAAAGAAGGGGAGTCATTCACAGATAGTGGGGAGACAATCATCAGCATATGGGTGGCAAAAGGAGTGCTTCTAATTAAATGTTCCTCTTTGGAATTGTTGGTAGCATTTCTCCCTAGCTCAAATTAACAGAAACTTCAGATTTTTTAAATTTCCTCTTTACAGATAAATAAAATAATATTTATCTGCATCCAGATGGTCTTTTTTTTAGCTATAAATCAACAGCTTTTATTGCATGTGAAAGGTATAGGTACAAAAAAAAGCCAAAGAAAGAAGTATCAGCCTTGTAGTGCCTGGTCAGTCAATCTGTATATTAATAATTACTTCATTAAGTGTCATTTATTCTTCTGCCTTATGGTTTTTTATCCTGTTCTCTATTTTGGTATATTTCTCAAACACCTTTATTAGATTTTTAACAAGCAGGTAAACTGGACATAAACATTTGGATCAGAAAAATATGACTTTCTATAGTACTGCCACCTACAGCATTTCCTTTGATTTAAATGGGAGTTTGTGTGCAGAATAGCTGTAGGAGTTGGATATTGATATGTAATTGCATTTACAGTAGTCTAATCTACTACGATTGTTGTACATCTGAATGTTAATACAACATTCATTAGAAATTTCTTAGACTTTGTCAAATTTAACACTTTGAAGGAAATAGAGATGAAGTTGTCCATTGGAAGGGGATCGGATTCAGAATCAGAAGATCAGAATTCTTGGATTTCTCATTATTCTGCCCTGTGACCCATTGTCGGTCATTCCCTTTCTTACTCTTCACCTGTGTTTATTTAGATTAGAAGTTGTTCAGGCCAGGGACTATGTGCCTACATAGTGTTGCACAATAGAGTTCTGATATTAGATCTGATTCCTAATAATACTTATATTGCATTTCAAAATGAATTTGGGCTGTCTAGTTTTAGCCCCATCCTTGCTCTTGAGAATTAGGTGGTAAATAAGGAAATGGACATATCACTGATTCAGAGCGACATGAAAACGTTGGGAACTGGGTACAAGTTAATAGCATGTCTTATAATACTGCTAAATGTGTGGGGAGCAATGTCATTCATACTTACAGGATGGGAGGACTGTATCCTAGGAAACAGTAGCCCTGAAAAAGATTTGGGGCCGTGATGAAAAAAGAGCTGAACAAGAACTCCCTTTTTGCCCAAAAGGGCTAATATGATCCTGGGATGCTTAGAGGAGAATCTTGAGTAGAAGTAGGTGGTTAATTTGCCTCTGTATTTAGCACTGAAAGGACACGGCTGGAATATTGTCAAATTCTGGCACCTGAAATTCAAAAGAGAATGTTGATAGACATTCTATGTATATTGGACAAACTTCTCAGACACTTTGCCAAAGATTCAATGCACACAAAACAGACATCAGAAAGTTTCACAAAGAAAAAACAGTTTCTTGCCATTTCAACCAGAATGGGCATTGTCTCAACGATCTGATTACCTGCATCCTTCTTCAAAGAGACTTTAACACAAGACTTCAAAGAGAAGCCTCTGTCATTCGTGCTTAAATTTGACACTTTACGAATGGGCCTTAACAAAGATGCTAATTATCTTACCCATTACAAAGATAGCTTCCCCAATTATCACCTCTAATATCATTATATAATAAACACTAACCACTCCCCCTCACTTCCCCTCTGTTCTAAAATCTGATTTGTCTATTTTAAATGTGTTCACTTTTTTTGATTGTATCCCTTTGGTATATATGGTCATGCCAATTTTCTTCCACATATTGATCTGAGGAAGTGGGTCTGGCCCATGAAAGCTCATCACCTAATAAACCATCTTGTTAGTCTTTAAAGTGCTGCATAGTCCTGTCTTTTCATAGATTGGTGTGGGTTCAGAGAACTGTTAGAAGGATGAAAGGATTAGAAAACGTGTCTTAGTCATAAATATATCAAATTGTATGAGCCTCACATAACAAGGAGAAGCTTGAGGGCTGATTTGCTTACAGTCTATACGTATCTACATGAGGAGGAAATCTTTAACAATAATCTCTTCTGTCTCTCAGAAAAAAGTATAATATGTTCCAACTGGTTTACATTCAAGGCTTTTTTATTTTAAAAATAAGGCTTTTTTAAAAGTGAGACTAATTAACTACTAGAAAAAATTATCAAGAGTCATGATGATTTCTTGATCAGTGACTATTTTAAAATAAAAGTTTTCCTAAAAGATGTGATCTAGGATCTATTTGGCAGAAGTTCAATAGTCACTATTATACAGGTGAGCAGATGAGATGATCAGAATAGTCCCTTTCAGCTTTAGAATCTATGTAAATAATGAAACAATCTTCAAATATGTTAAGGGCTGTCATAAAGGGAACAGTGATCAAATGTTCTCTGTGTCTGCTGAAGATAGGAGAATTAATGGGTTTAGTCTGCCACAAGGAATGTTTAAGTTAGATGTAGAAGCATTTCTAATTACAAGGATAGCTAAGCTCTGGAATAAGCTTACAAGGGTGTGTCTACACTATCAAGTTTCGCTGAAGAAATTAAAATTGACATGCAGAAATTGCCAAAGAAAAAGTTGCCAAAGCATGTGTAAATTTGTTTCCTCTGTCGGAAGATTGTTGTCCACATCTTTAGATTCCCCATCAACAATGGCTCATGGATAAGCTATTGTGTCCACACTGCACATACGCAGCTGCTTATCTCGATGATGTTGTCATGCATAACCCAGACTGGGACATGCACCTGAAGAAGGTAGAGAGTACATTGGACACCTTGAGGAAGGCTGGCATCACTGCAATCTCTGCAAAGTGTGTGATGGGGCTGGCAGATGCCAAATATCTGGGGTATATCGTGAGAAGGGGCATAGTGAGACCCCTCGGGTGTGTCTAGACTACAGGGTTTTGTTGACAAAAGTGGGCTTTTGTCGACAAAACTATACCTAAGTCTACACTACTGCTGCGTTATGTCGACAGTAAGTTGACAGAATGCGGCATTTTTGTCGATGGTGGTAAACCTCATTCTACGAGGAATAACGCCTTTGTCAACAGAGTTCTGTCGACAAAAAGTAAGTGTGGACTCAGGGAAGAATTTATGTTGACAATAAAGGCTTCCAGGAAGAAGCCCTGGTGGACACTCCTGCCACAGTTTTCAACTCTATTGTTCCTGCCTGTAGCCATCTTTAAAAGGCACAGGCACCCAGGATCTGCATTCTGGCAGCAAGCCACCTCCAGCCAGGAGCTCTTCCCAGTAAGGACACTCAGGACACATGTCCCAGGGACAAGCCCCCCAATAGCTCTCTGGCCCCTCCAGGGACAAATCTTTGCAGGAAGCCAGGGGCACCAACATAGGGAACCTTCCTGGTCTGGGCCTGAGATCAGAGCCCTCTTGGGGCTCTGGGCTGAGGAAGAGTTCCTCCAGTCCATGCAGTCCAGCAGGAGGAGGAATGCAGACATTTATGCCCGAATGGCAGAAAGCTTGGCTAAAAAAGGTCGCCACCTCCACACACTGGAGCAGGTCAGGGCAAAGGTGAAGGAGCTGTGGCAGGGATATGTTAGAGCCTGTGAGCGCAGCTCCTGCTCTGGGGAAGCATTGCACTACTGTGTGTATTATGAGGACCTCGACCGGATCCTGGGGGCAGGGGAACCCCTGTCTTCCGAGAGGGTCGTGGAGTCCGGTTTGGAGACCCCTGTTCAGCAGCGGCTGCAATTCCAGGGCAACACCCCAGCAGAGGACCAGCATCTCCAACAGGAGAAGGAGGAGGAAGACACCACCAGCACCAGTAACACAGCCACCCTGACCCAGGACCCAGACGCCCAAACGTAGGAGGCCTCCCAGACAACTTCAGACACCGGGAAGGGAACATCAGGACGTGAGTGCTGTGAGGGTCCACTACAACACAGAGCAGGGCAGGTGGAAGCAAAGGGGACGGTACAGTGCTGTGACATGTCATGCTGATCACAGCCGGGGGTGGGGCACACACATGGCCGACCTCAGGGAGGGCCGTCCTACCCCCCTGCACCCACATGGCAGCGAGGAACCACTCACTTCTGCAGGCAGTGATGCCAGGGGCAGGCATGGGCTGGGGATGCTGGGATTGGCACACAGCTGCAGGCCTCTCAATAACCTGTGGGAACCCCAACCCTGGCCTGACACTTGTCTGTGCTGCTTGGCCATGGGGAGGGGTGTGCATGGGGGGGGGCGACACTGTCTGGGCTTCAGGGAGGCCGTGGCTGGGGGTCCCGGGAGAACCCT